CAAGCGTTTCAAAAATCAATAAATTTTCATAATAGCCACAAAACCAGATCAAAAACACAAAAAAAAATATATAAAAAATCATTATTTTAACACGGCGCACGAACTTTTTCCTCAACCTAATACAAAGTACTCTTGTCGCAAGTCGGTGCAAGTATGGATAAGAATCCTTCTTGAAAAACACCAGACGAGTATCATCGCTATGCTCCTTTTCGAACATCAAGATTTCAACTACAATTGATTCAGAGACGCATGATCGTTTCTTCTTCGTCGGAGCTTTTTGTCCTACGTAACCAGAAAAGAGTCGTTTGCGTTTGAAACTTGGCAGGTTGCTTATTGTGTCATCATCAGTTGTGCGGCGATCAGTAACGGACGATTCGATGATGCATTCCGAAGAATTATTTGTTATACTAGACAACTGCAATGCCGCTTTAAGAACCAGCATTTTGATCATGTCTGTGATTCGTTCCTTCACCGATTCGGATAAATCTAACGCAAGCACCCATTTTAGCTTGAAACGATCATCCAAAAAAGGAGCAATCAAATAAAGATCGTCTTTGTAAAGATCGTACGTGGAACGTTTCTTCATTTTCATAATATTATCATCGAAAACTTCGCACCGTTCAGGTAATCCGCCGAAACGCTGGCGTAGAGAATTGAGAAGTGTACGACATAGTGATCCAAGATATTTGCAGTTAGTCTGTTCGTGTTTGACCATCAAATCTTACCATATTATGATAAGATTTGATGGTCAAACTCGAAAAATGGTTCAATGTAGTTTAAATACGTAAAAAGATCTTATTTCCACTGGATTCATTTCATATATTTAACGAAGTGAACTTTAATTCAGTTTAATCCAGTTTAATTCAAGAATTAATCGAATTCAAATCAATTATATTTCCAGATTTTTTTCGAGTGAGTTCCTAAAGCGCAATAATTTGTTTTTTGTCAAAATAAGAATCCACAGAACATCACTTGCCGAGACTATGTCCTAAGTACTTTCTCTTTTCTGTATTCTTCTGTCAACTACTTGATGTAATGCAAGCTTCAGAGTTCTACGAAGACAGGAATTGTCTTTTAATACATCATAATTTGGAAATTAACACTTGAATATGTCATATTGAAGAATACGATTTATTCCATGCGTTGTCTTCGTAATGTATTTATTGATAGTCAAAAATCATGTGACCTTTGTTTACTGTCACTACTAACCTGTTTTCGTCGGTCCCAATCCAAAGTAAGAAGCGCAGAGACACCGAATGCAGGTAAAATAATGATGCACCATGGTGGTAAAAATATATCAAGCATTTGTTTTGCAGCAAAGACGAAAGCACCAATAAAGGAACGGCAGGGTGCTGGAAATGTTCGTTGGGCAGGTTTTGACACAGCGAAATCAATGATATCCACAATGACACTACTGAATTTATCATCGACACGCCATGAAAGGTAATGAGATATTACGCTTTTTGGTTCTGCTTCGACCACTTGGTTCTTAATAATATTTGGAATACCTACGTAAGCAGCAAGTGTAAGTCCAAGTATCAGTGTAATACACAGTGCGCTTCGCACCCAATAAAAGGCTGAGATTAAACTTGTTTTAGCACGTCGGTGCTGCATGCTTCTGTATCGTATCGCTTCAAGTTCTCTTCTGGTAGGATGAGCAGCACGTTTCGCTTCTTGAAGCTCTCTTTGCAGCTCCTCATTTTTGGACCTGAGCATCTGTATTTTGTTTTGGAGCTTTTGACAGAAGTGTCTGTTGTCTCTTTGGAGGGATGATTGAACATGATTCACTAAATATAATAAAATATAATATTATTAATTATTTGTCATATGAAATACCAAAAGAAGTACAATTCTTAAGAGAAGCCCTGATTATCTGACATAAATAGGAGTTTTGACTTATGCAATTTAGGAAAATATGTGCTTCTCTTAGTTGATTATATCCCGCGTTAACTGGAGGACATGTCTTTATTCAGCTTAAGATTTAAATCGATATAATAAAAACGGATTTTATCAAGGAGTTCGCTTCCAGTAAGTTCACCAGATAATTTACAAATGATTAAAATACTTTATATTTAGGACATGTTCAACATGACAATAGGCGAATATTAAATGTTATAATATCGGATTAATTACAGTTTACATTATTATAAAATTTAGTTGATAATCATAATTATTTATAAACAATTACTGTTTTTAGGTTTTCTTATTAGTTTATTATTAAATTGAAAGTATTCTGGTCTTGGTTACAACACACGATACATTCATTACGAATGATTTTGTTTAATTCATTTATTTGAAGTATAATTAATAGACAAGATTCCACAAATAGTGCATCAGATAATTATCAATAAGTTTTAGATTTATCGATTCATCAGATAAAGAAATCCTACAGGATTGCTGGATTACGACAAATATATTTTCATCAAATACAGTTCGATGCAGCAATTTATCCTGCATAAAGATTGATAACTCTTGATCGCAAACTCAATTAGAAAGTTCATGACCCAGTTCCGACATTGACAGAAGACCCCATTGGGCGACAGGCATTCGGGCATGTGTCCTTGCTTGGCAGTCGAAAAGTTAGTAAGTGTTATGCATGCAGAGCTATGGTTATTGTTCTGAAGAGCTAATCGCAGCTTGATAATGATGTTGTGGGACCAACCAGAGGCTGGTGTGATTGTAGAAAAGAAAGAGCTGGAAACTATTGATAGCGTAGGATCAGCTGGAAATTGAGACGTCTAGAGGAGGTGCTGGGAAGGTGGCGGGTTGCTTAAACTAAGTTTCTTCTCACTAGAAAATCAGAAATTAAGACAAATATAAAATTTTCGTTCCAGGACTGCTTGACTACTATAAAATGACGGTGGCGCTTGCTGCACTTCTCATGAACTAAA